TCGGGAAGAGGGAAGGTGAATAGGAAGGGGAAGGTGGGTGCTAATTTTTTTTTTTGTTTGTTTAATTTTTTATTATTTAAAAAAAAAAAGACCAATAACAAGGTGACACGTGGCAAATCACCTTCTTTAACAGGTTACCAAAGATATAAACCGGTCAAGGGATTGTTTTGAGCAGAAGGGGGGCAAAGGTGGGATTATTCCCAGATTATTCAAGGTGGGATTGTTTTGAGAAGAAGTGTCAAATGTGGGATTATTCTTTTCAATTTTTCCTTATTATAACTTGAACTAATTTTCCAAAATTTTGAGAATAATAATGTAATTTCACCCAAAATACATGTGGGAAGTTTAAAACCCTAGGGCCCAAACCTAGGCCACCGGGGAACCGGGCGAAGACCTCCCTTAACCCACGCAAAAGGCTGATCGGCCTTCCTAACCCCCAAAATCATCGGCCATTTATGCAGCAATGCTTAAATTGGTTGGAGCTGCGAGTTGCGTGATTTAGTTGGATCGAAGCTACAACTTGCTATAGTGTGTTCTCCACTTGGAGCTGCAAGTTGCTGGGTTGCTTGGGGTTAAGTGTGGCTAGTAATTGGTAGCTTTTTAGGGTTGGGCGTGACAAGGGAGGTAGTGGTATGCTTTTTTTGGTTTTCCGATTACCACCTTCAATCTCACCTAACTCTCTCTCTCTCTCTCTCTCTCTCTCTCCTCCCAACCCTTCCACCTTCACAACCCACAACTTTTACTCTCTGAAACCCAACAACATCAGTAGTATTACACCCATCTCAAACATTAAATCTCGTTCTCTCTCCATTGAATCTACTCTTAAGAAAATCTTGGAGGTTGATTTTATCTCTTTGTCGCTGGAAAATGACAGAAGTGTGGTGTTTAGGTGGTGGCTTGGGGTGGAGTGTGGCTGATGGTTTTGGGGGTTAGGAGAGGCGACCGGCCGTTTCCCAGTGACTAAGGGTTTTGCCTTAGGTTTCACGGTGAAGGGGTGGTGGTTGTTAGGTTTTTTATTTTTTATTTTATTATTATTTTTTTTTTTTACCAACCATGTGCTGACTAGCTATTACAACAAGCCATTAACTTGGTAATGACCTAATGGGACTGCTCTAGGCAAACCTACCCAATACTTAGGATTATTAGATAATAAACCTTAGTTGGGATTATTAAAAGTAAATAGCCAATAGTTAGGATGGCTAACCAAACAACTACTTTTTTTTTTTTTTTTTTTTTTTTTTTTTTTTTTTTTTTACGGGAACCAAACTACTCTTTAACACATTTCCCATGAATTTATATTTCCTCTATTATTGAAGTTCAACCAACCAAGGCCTAATTATATACTTATAGTAGTGTGTTTTGAGTGCGGCTTTTATTTGTTTTAAATTTAGACCTATAATTATTGAAATATTCAGTAATAATAAAAAGTTGTGTTGTTTAAAAACAACCGCATAAAGGTTGTTTTATATTTGACAAATTTTCATTATTGTTGTTGTTGTTGTTGTTAGGAAAAAAAAATCATTTTAATAATTTCAAATTTACCCAATTACTTTGAATAATCACTACTTTTGATAATTTGCAAATATCTCAACTTTCACCAGTGTTTCCAAATTGACAGATGTCAACATTTGAACCATCCAAAATAATAAAAAAAAAGCAAAAAAATAAATTAAAAAAAGAAAAACTATGCACCATCCTACCAAACCCTAACAACCACCCTTTCCCCATGCGTCAGCCCCATAAGCCACCCCTACACCTTCCCCACCCTCTCCTCATGCGTCAGCCCCATCAGCCACCCCTTACACCTGCCACACCCTTTCTCGAAACACCTAACTAGAAACAAACCTCTTTCCTCAACCCCACCCCTTATCCCCAAACCCTTGCCCTAAAACCACTCCCACCCCCAAAACCACCCATAACTCAAATACTCCACCTCAAAACCACCGTAAAACCCCCCACCTTTGAAACTCAACCCTATCCCTTTGCCCCCTCAAAAACTACCCTCCCCTATTTGAAACCTTCTGCCGCCCCTTTAAAAACCAACCCAGCCTATTGCGCACAGGTGTTTTAATGGTCACACCAAATTCATGGGTGGGGAAGGAGAGAAAAAAAAAACGAGGAGGCGGAGGGTGCCCAAATTTAGGGGTAGCCTGATTATGGAGGCAGAGAAGGGAGGGGTGGTTTTCGGTGGGGCTTGGGAGGAGGGAATGGGGCTGGGAAAGGGGATGTTTTTCGAGTGGCAAGGGTTGAGTATTTTCGTTTTTTTTTTTTTTTTTTTTTTTTAACAATAAACATGAGTAACGTGGCATATTAGTATTATATTTAAATAACATTTTCAACATATCACCGGTTTTCAGGATTGTTAGAAGAAAACGCGGGTGAAAGTAAGGATTATTGCAGAATAAGCAAAAGTGAAGTTTATTCAAAGTAAATTAAGCAAAGTTGAAATTGTTAAAATGAATTTTTCATAACATATTCATTTTTATATTGGAAAAGGGTGTATTCCTTATACAAGTATAAATCATTATCTCTCATTAAAAACATTTTAATACTTTAAGTTAGTGATAGAGTATAAAACATATTCCTGGGATAAAGGAGGGGCGAATGAGATTCGAACCCGTCGTGACCTTTGTGACACGCTGGCTCTGATATCATATTAGAGGACCAACTCAACCAAAAGCTTAAACTAATGGTTGAGGTGCAGGAATATGTTTTATACCCTATCAGTTAGATTTAACACGTTTTTTTTTTTTTTTTTTTTTAATATCACACAATCACACATATAATTTATATTATATGATAATTAAAACCATGTTTTGATCATGGCTTGACCTAAAAATAATACTTCGTATAATCATAGTGGGGTCAATATATAAATCATAATTGCAACTTTTTTATGGGCTCCATTTCATGACTCGTAATTCTGACTCATGAATATAATATATTGCGACCTTGTTTTAAGACTTCATTTATATGACACATTAGCTTTTTTTACTAATTTTTCTTCATTCGTATCTATCTTCAAAGTTTTTTTTTTTTTTTTTTTTTCTACACTAACATTCCTTAATCAATTCTAAACCTAAACTCTCAAATTCAACTAAAAAACCTTTTCAAAGCTATACGTCAATGATCTTGATAAGAATCATATAATTTTGTCCATACGAAGTATTTCCATCCTTGCAATGGAATCTTGTTTTCTAGGACTTAATTCAAACTTTAAACAAGACCCAAATATTTTAAGTGTTAAAAAAAAAAAAAAAAAAAAAAAAAAATCTAAAGTCTAATCTCAAGACATGGTAGAGTCAGAGCCTTAAGAAATGCGCGAAATATTGTCCGCCGAAGTTGCTCTTAACATTTTACGCATGCATTTCGAAATATCATTCGAGAATTCCCAATGGTATAACGCAAAATGTATTTTATGTCTACTTTCATGGAAGACCCCAAGCAAGAAAGAACAACTACTAGTACAAATCGAGAATACACACGAAAAAAGAGTCCATTGAATTTGTAATAGGTAGTTCTTGTCCTTTGGCAAAATTTAGTAAATTAAAAAACAACCCTAAAGTATGAAGGCAAACAAAGCAATGTTTTCACTTTACTCAAATTGAAGCAAAGGCTATAACTCAAGCTACCAACACTTGATATAATGACATGTTAGCTAACTCCTTAGAAAATACAAGTATAGTACTAGTAAACTCCCATCATTAAGTTCTAACAATCACAAAATCAACGATCAGAAATTGTCCTCCCAAAGTGGATTGTGGGCCCAACAAATAGTACAAGATTGGACCCCTTAACCGTTAAGTCCAACTCATATGTTTTGGGCTCCACATTTGGACATAGGAAACAAAGGAACAGTGACAGTCTACAATGGGCCCGAAAGCGACCCAACATGTTGTGAAATGGTCGGGTCAGAATTTAGGATCCACCATTGCCTTTTCGAGTGGTAGATATTTAAAAAGATTGAGCCATTTATAACATGGCCCATTACTGAATGGGTGGCCCAGAAAGCAATGTTACAAAAATGTAAAAAAAAAATTATAATTATTAAATTTAAGAAAAACACAAGGAAATTAAACAGGTGATAACTATGGGCCTGGGTCCAGGGCCAAGGGTCTTGTCGGGTGACCCGACAGTAGTGATGGTAAGTGGGTCGATATAAATGTGCTGTTTAAGTCATTATCAACTGTCAAGTATGAGAATGAATAGTCTCAAGGGAGTAAAGTTGACAACACACGCCCTGCTGGTTTATGGATATGAAGATGCTAAGGTGATCTTGTTCCTCTAGCCCACTTCCCGATCTAACTCGCAGCTAGCGTTATAGCGTAACGAGTCCAACAACTGGCCGGAATTGACATTTAGCTTTATAATTCTATGTACGCCACAGTTTTAAGTATTCTTAGTACAATTTATGTCCGTTGCCTTGCACACCTCTAGACCAATACAGAAATTCTCTAATTCGATCCCAAATGATAGACTCAACCCTTATCCACTAGGTGCTCATTCGAGCCTTCGAGGAACATTAGTTGGGAAGAGGAGGGTCGTATTTAGCATTTTAGCAGCCATGCGCAAAGGAATTAGGTCACTATTACTGAAGTTGGCAATAATCAAGGCAAAGCGAGTACGGGACAATCAGTAAAAGTTTAATAATCTCACTTCCTTGACAGTGATGGTTTAACTAGCATAGCTTTTGTCTCTGCCAGTTTAAACTAAACAGTGAATTTTAGACAGTATAATAATGGCAAGATTTTTAAGGAAAAAAAAAAGAGAGTTGTTACACAACATAAATGACTTCAGCATTGTTGAGCACAGATTTATCAGTATACATTAATACAAAAACATTTTAGCCCATGCCTTAACAAAAATTTTTTTAAAAAATAATAATAATAATTCTTATAGTATAATATTACTGATATTTTTTTTTTTCCATTTATTAATTTAATTTGTGGATGGGGAAACCAGAATCATGATATCAATCATCAAATTATGACAGCCAAAAATAGAATTAAAAATCATCAACTTATGATAAACTGGACACAGCAGCACATGGGAGTTGCACAAGAATGTCACATCTATTCTTCCCCCCATTGCCTACCTCACTTCACTTAGAACCTTAGATTCTAATGTCAGCCCCTAAAAAAAAGGTTTTGGATAACAAAGAAGCCCCTTTTGGTCCACAATATACATCTTCTATGAAATCTTTCGGCTTTCGAGCCCCAACTTTATGCTCTAGTTCGGTTTCAACATCGTTCATCCTACCTCACAACTAAAGGCTATAACTATCAAATCAACAAGGATAAAAACGTGTCGCATTGACAAACACGATTACTGGAACAACCTAATGACAGCCTTTCTCGTACAACCTTTATACCCAAACTAAAAAGGGCATCTTAGACAACATAAGCAACTTTGATGCTAGATTCCAACTCCACAGATAGTGAAATCATCTTTGCAACATGACATGTAAAGGCATCATCACTTAGACAGTTTCAGTGGCCATGATCAATGACACGCTCCTCCTTCACTAGTCCCTTCACTTACTGAGGATGATGGAGCTCAAAATTGATGGTTTACAGCCCAAGGTCAAAACTGTTTAAGAAAATGCACTTTAAGTCACTTTCTTTTCTTTACATGTATGTCTGTAATGGAAGTTGATTATTCATGTTGACAAATATCCAAAGATAAACAGCACTTACAAGGGAAAACAGTTAATAGGAGATTAAACCTTGGTGATCTAGAACACCCAAAATCCATGTAATGCTTCATCTTCATCCGCTAAAGAATTATATATAGCTATCACAAGCCTGCATAATTATAATTCATCACTGATAGCGACAGGGTGATCAACTGATCATTAACACAAAATGTATACCTCCAAACCCCATGCACACTAAAATCACAGAATCACTTTTGAGAGTTAAAAAAAAAAAAAAAAAAAAAAAAAGCTAAGGGCAATTTCCAACAAAACATTTACAACTATCCGTGTTGCTGCACCATACAACCTTCCCTGATATGGTGTGAAGTGAACAGACAGTAAATCATAGTACATTCATAGGATAATGGCAGAGGCACATAAAGAACAAAAAGAGATGCATTAATCAACAATGCAACTGATCCACTTTCTTAATATAGCTTGAACCAGAGAGGTTCTTTAGCACTTTACTGATTTTCACACTTCAGCTCATGATAAAATAACTAGGCAGAGTTTGACATTATTATCATCTTCAGAAGTCGGTCATAAAAAAGATTGTGTTCTAATATATTTGTCATCCATTGTTTGCAATAGACCAAACAAAAAAAAAAAAAAAAAAGCCTTATAGTTCCTAACAGACCCAGAGGGGAGATTGAAAAAGATCCTCAGGATGGGACAAACAATAGAATTACAATGCTCTAAATTGGCTAATGTTAAACAGCTCATATCTAGAATTCAAGAAAAGAGGAACGGATATCTAAGTCTCCATGCTCAGATGAGAATACTGGTAAACTCGAAAAGGAGCCTGCCGGAAATCTATGACCAAGTAGCAAGAAAAGGCATTCAGAATTGATCTAAAGCTGCTAAAAATAGATATTACACAAACACACACTCTCTCTCACACACACACACACACACACATTTAAATAAAAATCAATTACCTGAAAATGACCAAGAAGAAAAATAATAGGTAAACGCAAAGCTTTAGAAACCGATGTTTCTTCTCAACACTAAGTGCTCTGAAAATCTCTGTCACATCTACAAGATGCTCTCCCCTAGTAAACCTGCATATGAGTAAAGGACAAGTGAGCTAACATATTGTGACACTTGCATACCACAAGCTGAGAGTAGTTTCAAATTTTCTGTTGCAACCTTTCTGCAGTTCATTTTTAAAAATTTAATTGAAAGGGAGCAAGTCCTACGATCTTCATACCAGGCCTACAGAATCACAGATTCAGATGAGCTTAGAAGACAGCTTTTTCAAATCCACATTTTTAATGTCATTTCTATACTCCCTCTATCTAAGACATATGTGGCCTCTTTCGACTCCTATTGAAATCTACATTACCCCAACCTCCCACCTTCCTTACAGATGCATCCTCAGGTCAACATACATATCTATCTCTCAAAGATGTTCCCAAACATCCATCTAAACATACAGATCTATGCTACAATCAAAATTTTAATATGATTGATTCTAAAAGCATATTATTTTGACCTGAACAGTAACGTCCTGAAGTTTATCTTTTCAACCTTAAAAACACAATACGCTTGCAGTCCTTGCACAACAACCAACTCGGCACTGCTCTCCATTTGAGCTACGCAAAACAAAATTTTGTTACATCATGATTGGCATTCCCATATCTTAGTAATATCGAATTGATATACTTAAAATATTCCCAATAGGTACTCTCTCTGTATTTTTTTAAGTGAATCATTTTGACTTTTAGCATTATTCCCCTTATCCACTTTAAAAAATGTTAGTAAAATAAGAAAAAATATAGTTTTGTGAATACTTGTAGGAATCGTCTCGAAAAATAATTTATTAATATTCAGTTGTTATAACTTTTACTTATTGATAATTAAAAATAATATTGGTCAAAGTCTTACATTGGCATACATGCCCAGGTGAAACGTTTCACTTAAATAAATACGAAGGGAGTAACACCTTACCATTTTAAGCCAAGAAATCGTCGCTTAACCCCTTCCCTATACTAGTATGGCCTCTTTGTGCTTAGTTATTCTGACATAGCCTAGACTCCCGAGATTCTTACTTTTGTCACCATCGCTCCAATTTTTCACAAACCAACAACAAACACCATAGTATCTCATCTTGGATAAACCTCTTTTTTTTTCTTCTTTTTTTAAAATGTTGCATAGAGAAAAAGGACGTATAAAAATCTTTTGCAACTTAATTGTACAATTATTCCTCAACTAAGTATTCGGTTCTATATGGTGAACAAATGATTACAAATATTTTAAAATGCTCAAGTTGATGCAGTGGAAACTTCTGGCAAAATAAATAATAGTAAGCGTATGAACTAGATGATCTTCATCCAGAAATAACCAAATAAAAAGAAGCAAGGGCAATAAGCGGAAACTCCATACTAAATACTCCCTTAGATCTCTTAATAGATCGATTGAGTAAAAATCATTTGCAACTCAAGAGTGGAACAAAGACAATGCTGGATGGTCAATATAGAGATCAGAAAAGACTAAAAAAATAAAATAATCAGACAGAAAACGTGGGGGTTAGCCAAAATTACAAGTTTGAAGAAAAGTAAAATACCACTCATAATGGTTAAGTGCAACAACAAAACCTATTCTGAAAACACTGATTATATACTTGTTTTTGACAGCTAACATAAAAAGCCATACACAACAAGAACTAAAAAAACAAACATTTCATTTCTATTCCTCATCACTCATCAATATTCATAAACAGATTTAATAATGTAGCTGTAACAATCTATCCATGAATCAAATCAGTAAGCCAATAATAGCAGAAATTCACAAAAAAGCATAAGAAGATTTTCCTACTTTCGATTTGAATACTAAAGTAATCAGTCCACTGACTTCAGGCAATCAGTGGCTACTTGAAACTGTAACAACTAACAACACTAAAATCAAAAACTGATGCCAATCCCCAGCTCAGCCTAACAGGGCAAAGGAAGATTAAAGAACTCTGGAAAAGGAGTTGTAATAACAAATATCTAACATATCGTAACAATCTTTGACATAAGGAAGATATTGATTGTAAAACCAATAGAAAATCTATCAACTTACAGCCAACCCACCCTAGCCATTGCTCTACATAGACTACTACCAATAAAAAATTAGCCCGTACTTATCATTAGAAAATGCCCTTTATCAAGATGTGAAACAATAGATTTCTGCATTATCAAGCATCGACACTTGATTCTCCCAATCATACCTGCATAGCTCAATCCTTGACTATTACCAGTCATTCAGGCCATCACTGAATTAAGCTCGTCCTACACAACTTTCTACTAATTTCACTCACTCTTTATAACATCAGCTCTCTCATCTCAAAATTTGCAACTTTTGTATCTGAATCACATGATCTTATATTAGGAGCCTATGAGTAAGATTTAGATGGTCACTAAGTTCTAGAGAAACTTAAGGCACTGTATAAATTGTACAGGTAAATAGGAGCTCAATCTAATTATTAATCTTCATCAAAATTTGTAAATAGGCTTCACTACCATTTTATACAAATTGAACACAATTGTTCCTAGAAAAAAAAATTCAAAAAAATAAATAAATGTGCCTCAGAGACAAAGTGGCACACCGGTGTTTATCTAATGGCTACAGCTATAGCTAAGCTAGAGTAAAACATGCTTTACTTTTTCTTTTTTTTTTTTTTTTTTTGAAAGACATGCTTCACTAGTTCACTTTAATCCTGATATACTTTCCTTTTTTAACTGAAAGGTACTTTTCTCAAGTGAACTGACACACAAGTGCTTCCCAAATATATGCACATGACGCAGAAACATTCTCCAGGAGGATGAGGTCCTACAAGACTTTGATAAAAATCAACAGAAATAGGCATGTCTGAATAGAACTCTACACAGACACCTGATCCTGGTCCTGTTCTTGAATAAAAATCAACAAAGCAACACAAACCCTAGAAGTGTTCATCCATAAGTTTCATGTGTGCAATTATTATTTGCCCAGTGCTCACGAATTTGTTCCGCATCAATATCATGATGAAATGAATATATGCTATACAAATTTCTTGCTAAATAGGATTCATATTAAGCTTTTGGAGTTGGCTGCTTCTAAGTTTTAAGAGACCGCAACTTTTTCTCGTATGAAATTTCTAAGACAGAAATAATCTATGAAGTCTTTGTCAATGCTGAACCACATGTAACTAATCTCAAGGTCTTGTCACCAGGGGGACTAGTGGCAAGTGCTTTGCCGATTCATATTCCTAGAAATGGTATGATTGACAAATAAGTCGATCATTAACGGAGAAGGTTCTGACAAATCAGAATATTTAAAACTTGTAAGATACCTTTTTAGTACATGTATAGTTGAAACTCTTGAAAGAAATGCAGGTCCAAAATTTCCTGCCCACTGCACAAAAATAGGCACATAGAATTGCCAAAAATTTATGCCACATAGAATTGCCCAGCTCTCAATCTACAGATGAATTTCAACCATTATAACCACTTTTACAACATAAACTAGATAGGCGTAATTGGTCTCTAAAAGGTACAATTTACCACTGTTGTTTAACTTACACAACATTTTCATTCAAAGATAAGCTTTCGCTGTTCTCACTTTCTTTGGCACTTCAAATGTCAGAAGAAATTTAGGCGCCAGAGGTGGGGGGGGGGGTTAGATGAAGACTCTTCTCAAATTGCTTATGATAGTTCTAAGACAAACAATTAAAGAGAACCAAATCCTTTCATCAAATTTACCCAAGAATGTAGAAGGACCTATGGGACTTATGAGATTTCACAAGTCTTTTTCCTACAACCATGTCTGATTTTGAAAGTTCAAATATTGCTACTGAAGCTGATCAATACATCACAGCAAGAAGCAAGCAGCTTGTCAGAAATTTGGAGTAAAGCTAGCACCAGGCTAAATCTTGTCTGAAACACTGGATTTCATTGTGCAAGCTTGCTTAATCAATCAATCCATCCTCATTCATTCTCTCATCTGTCTAAAACAAAAAACAAAACACTGAGGGGGCGTTTGGTATAGTAATTTTAGATGTAGGAAACGGATTCAATTAAGTGTTTTCATTTCTAGTTGTTTGGTATGGGTTAAATGTAACAAATACCGTTTCTGGAGAGTAACAAAATCCCCGAATATGTTACCCTTGACAAACTAGTGGAAATAAAATGTGTTTCCTTACTCAATCACATTCTCCTCAAATTGTTTCCATTCCACTAGGATACCACATATAGTAAAGGTAACATTTATCATTACTCTTTCCCTTACTTATTTGAACCCTTTCCATTTCATCTACAATGTTTATGCCAAACACCCCGTGAATTCATCTTCATAAAAATAAACTACGAACTCAATATTCAATCATATCGACCACTAACTCTTATATCAGCTCTAAAAGACCATATTTGAATTTAAAAGAAATTCCATCATAAATACATTCCATCTATTTAATAGTTTTAGGCAGTACCACATGATTATGCGGCATATATCTGAAACAACCTTGCCCACCCACCAAAAAACCTCCATCAGAAGCAAAGGTCAATCATGGATCCATAATGTGACATAGTAGTAAAAATATATACTTGTACAGTGTTCAATTTGATGAATACACATAATTAAATATCCCATGTAGTAGCTTACTCAAAACCTCACACAACTCAACTCTAATTTAACTCAAGCCTCACTTTACACATAGACGGTAAAACCCGCCTCATCAATTCCTTAGCAATTATCAATTATTCTGCAATTATGTACTACCCAATACCCATATACAGTATTCTAAACACACTAATTCTGCTCTCACAAACCCCATTCGACGATTCCACCCCTCGCCCCCAACCTCCTGTAGTCCTGTAGGATTCAATCTCCCATCATTATCAATATCACTAGACTACCAATATTACACATACAGAGCATATCATATCATTCACAAAGTAATAAATCAAAACCAGAAATTAGTAATAAGTTAATCAATTCAGAAACTACTTACAATCTAGCATGATAAATGACAACAGGAAGTGTGACAAAAAACATCAAGAAATGGCCAGTAACAAGAAAAAGAGCAGAAAAAGCTGCCTGCAATCCAAACTCTGGTAAAACCAAAGAATTGATATTCGACGCCGTCTCATATGGATTCATATAATCAGCCTCCAAATCCGACAAACAAATCAACTGCAACAATCATAACAATCAAAATGTTAATATATAATCTTGTAAAATTGGGGAAGAACATATAAAAATTAGAGAAATAGGGTTTGGAAAGATTGAAATTAAAAACCTGGTAAATTAGGAGAATGAGGAGGGCGATGTTGGAGGCTAAGGCAATTAGCCATAAGATTAAGTCCCAATGCATTGTTTTAGGGAAGATTTGATAACCTTAATTGAGTTTAACCTAGAGTTGCAGAATTGAAGAGATAGGGAAGAGAGAGAAAAGTTGCAGGGAAGAAAAAATAAAGGGAAAGTGAGCGGAGGAATATGGGAAAAGAAATGCAGTGGGAAATAGTGTTTGCCCGCTGCAATTGTCTGGAAATGTCATCATTATTCATGTCGAAAAGTTCGGCTATTGTCTACCGGGGTATCTGGTACTTCCTCCGTCCCATAATGTAGTTCTTATTTATACTTTCTCCGTTTTTAAATACTTCATTTTTTATGCGTGGAGTTTTACAAAATATTGGAGAAAGTAATAAAATAGGGAGGTAGTGGTAGTTGAAAGGACAAAAAAATTGTAAAAAGTCAAAGTACTGGAAGAATAAGAGGAGGGAGAGTATTATCACAAATGTTCATTTAAGGCCGATTTACACTAACATTAATGTGTGGCTCAATTATTCTTTCCTAAAACTGAATCTTACAAATGTAATATTTTACTGTCTTCTCTCTCTCTTCTAAACTCTGTATTTCCTTCAACTCTCTCTTATGCCTAATTTCCCAAATTCTCTCTCCTAGGCTGGTTTTCTATTTTCTCTCTCCTCCAAGAAGATCATGAGTTCTCTGTTCTTCACCATTAAAGGAACTAGTGAGCTTTCTCTCATTCGTCGAAACTCGTTGGTTTTCTATTTTCTCTCGTTCATCTCAACCTCCATTACTACTACATAATAAGCTTAGAACAACTTTGTTTCGGGTTTATTAATACTAGGGCCGGCCCTTTCCCTGTGCAAACAGACCAACTGCACAGGGCCCCCAATTTTATGGGGCCCATTTTTACTTAAAGCCCACCCTAAAAAAAAAGAAAAAAAAAATAAAACTAAAGTCAGCCATTGTTATCTCGGCACTCAAGCATTCCAACTTCCAAGCAATCAATTTACTTTCCAAATTCCAATCTACTTTCCATCAATTTACCTTCTATTTTCAATATCAAACTTTCCAAATTCCAATCTCCAATTTAATTTCATTACTTTGAATATGAAATTTCCATTAACCTTCTTATTTTACCAAAAAATAATTAGTAATTATCTCACTTTCCTCTTCCAATTTTCAATGGGAGAATTAAGTTTTCAATCCTTACCATTACTTCTCTTGATTTTCGTTTATTACCAAACATTCAAACGGCTAATTTTTTTACCATTTATAAATTTCCAAACAATTTCAGAATTTTCTACAACTCCTACTCAAAATTATTTTTGGGAGAAAAAAAATACGAATTTTCTGTTTTGGAATTTTGGTTGTGGAGTTGTGGATAGCCTTAATTGCTGGGATTTGCCGATTTGGGATAGTTGGATTAATGGATTTCTAACCAAGGTATGCAATTTATAAATATATATGATTATTTGATTAATATGATCTAATTAAATTTCAGATTTTTGAGGAATTTGTAGAATTGAAGTAAAATTAACAATACTGTATGTTTTTTTTTACAGATTGAAATATACAAATTGTTCGATTTCTGTTGTCAAGCAGCAAATAGCAATTTTCAGCGCAGGGTGCCTGGGTTTGACTGTGGTTTTTGATCGATATTGCTGGTCTCAAGCAACAAATAGCAATTCAGTTAAGTAAATGTATCAGATGCTGTTAAATTGTTTATTATTCAAATAATAGTCTAAATACATAAGATTTCTTTTATATATATATATATATATATATATATATATATATATATATATATATATATATATATATATATATATATATACAGTGGCGGATCCAGGATTTCCGACGTAGTGTGTCACCATCAATTATTGATCATTTGTGAAAGTACAATTTTTTTTTTCCATGTCTTGTTCATAATTAATTTCAATCCAAAAATTATATATATATATATATATATATATATATATATATATATATATATATATTTATATATATATATTTCACCAAATTGATTTCAATCCAAAAATAGGACACAAAAATTCATACCACAACCAAATACAGTATTAAGAATTCAATTTTACAAGTCGAAAATACTACAAATAACATGTTATAAACAAATGGTACAATAAAATTATTATATTGAATTAACTTTATGATTTTTTCGTTAATTGATAAGCTTTATGGGGAAATATTAAAATTGGTTGTACAAATATAAGATATAAAAAGGGAAAAAAAATTATTAAAAAATTATACAAAAAAAGTGAGATAACTTAAGAGACCAGTTATTAAATATAACTGGTCTCTTTAATGAAAAAAAAAGTAGCGCAAAAAAATTGCGAAATGCAATAGCAGCATCAAAGAGACCTCTTATATAAATAACAGGTCTCTTTAATATTTAAAAAAAACCACAGCAAGTCTTTTGTAGCAATAGCAGCATTAAAGAGATCGCCTATCTTAATAAGAGGTCTCTTTGATATTGTTTGTTGTTACCAATAGCAGCATCAAAGAGACCACCTATCTATAATAAGGGGTCTCTTTGATATTTTATTTTTAAAAAAAATACTATGTCACCGGACCCACTATGACTAAAGGTGGGTCCGCCCCTATATATATATATATCCTTGTAATATGATATTATTTTTGATCTAATATTTAAGTATTATAATTTTTTTTCCGTTAGGGCCCATTTTATAGTTTAGAACAGGCCCCGAAATTTAACGGGACAGCCCTGATTAATACCAACCAGCCGTATGTCAGACCAATTTGAAAATGAGGTCAATGCCAAGGATCACGACGTCTTTGATTGCTTTGGAAAGAAGGAAGAGAACCCAAAAGTGATTTTGTGTTTATTATTATCAACCAGCAGTCTTTTCTTCTGTTTTGATTTTGTGTTTTCAATTTTATGCATTTTTTCTTCTGTTTTCGATTTTGTTCATTTTCTTCTGTTTTTGTTGTTCATAGTCAATTTACTGTTAATGTGCTACAATTTTGCTGATTTTTGTGAAATATTTAGAGGTTTGGGATCAAATTGTGAGGAAATCACATTCTAAGTCATCTTACAAGTTTTTCATGACTTGTTAATTTTGTGTTTATTTTTGTTGATTTTGATACTCTGTTTTGCATATGTAACTTAATTACTTTTGTGAAAAAAGGGTCACTTTTGTTATAAAAAAAAAATCACTTTTGTGAAAATAAAGGGTCACTTTTGTGAAAAAAAGGGTTGTTTTGTGGAAAAAAAGAATCACTTTTGTGAAAATATGGGTTACTTTTGTAAAAAAAAAAAAAGGTCACTTTTATAAGGAAAAAGGGTCACTTTTCGCAAAATATTCGATGTACAATAAAATTATTGTAAACCGGGGGCATGTAAAAGTTTTTGGAGTATTATTGGGTCCGCTAAGTGTGAAAAATGAATTAAATATTATAAAATTTTTCCAAAAAAAGGAAATGGAGCAAGTATTTAAAAACGGCCAAAAAAGGAATGTGGAGCAAGTATTTAAAAACGAAGGGAGTATTTTTTTTTTTTTTTTTTTTACGTATTTGAGAAATACAAGTAGGTAAAGAAAGTGGATGAAATACATTATTAAAAGTTAAAAGTACAGTCATAGACAAAATTTTGAGAGAGAAAGGGGAAAAAAAATACTACAAGTTATAATATGCGCAAAATTCAAGTGTAAATTAGAAAGTACAATGAATATATAACCCTTTCAAAAGCCACAACATGTGTTACTATTTGAAATTAATAGTGTAATGGAGGTTGACGTTTTTACACACTCTTTTTTCCCCATGTTTGATAACATGGGAAAAGAAGAGTGTGTTACTATTTGAAATTAATAGTGTAATGACGTTTTTACCCTCAAGCTATTTTTTTTCAAAATTGCCCTCGTTTGATTTCAGCATTTTGTGTTCTTGGTCGTCTTTCAGTCTTGCTTTTTCCCCTTTTCATGCTCCACCATTCCATTTGCTTTCTCTCTGCTTTGAACCGCTCTCCACTCTCCACTCACTATTCCTCCCTCCAATTTTTCCAGTCTCTGTAAATACTCTAAATCCGAAAACAGAAACTTTCAGCATATTAGGGTAGTTTCTTCTCCATTGAAGCGCATTCCAAGTTTTTCATTGAAGCTGAGGTATGATCTTTAGCTTGTTTTAATAATCGTGGAACATCAATTTGACAATCTAGGGTTTGGTTAAATTTCACAACTATTTAATTGATAGTATATTCAATTTAGGGCTCTCCTCCATTGAAGTATATTTTTTATTCTTCCTGAATTTGACAGACTATGAAGAATTACTTCAATTTCGCACCCCTTTTGCTCGATGCACCCTAGGTGACAATTAGTGTGATGGTTTTCCGGAATTGGGTATAGTTTCACGTCAAAGAGAAGCCAATTCCGGCAAGGATTCGAATTCGAAGGAATGCACATAGTTTGTGGGCAGATATCGGGAGTTCGACATTCATATCTAATTGGTGGCCTAGGTTCTTTTTCAATATGTTTATTATTATTTATTTAAATGCCTTTATCTGATATTTGATAACTCACGTTGTTAAGAGTATCATTTGATGATAAACAGAAAATAAAGGCACAAACTTTAAAGAAGAGCAGCAAAGTTTCATGTCAAGCAGGATCTTTTTCATTTCATCATTTGTGTGTAAATTTTTGAATGAATGCCACAAACATTCTCTCTGCCTTATATATGAAAGCCCACCAACTAATTTAACCTAGGGAATTAGCCACCACTAGGAATATTACAACTCATAACACAAGAAGACAAATACTAAAATGTATGACAGTGCAAACAGACAAAATAATAGCAGCAACATATAAAACAGAATAGCCACTACTACTACCCTTTATTTCATCACTCCCCCTCAAGCTTAGAGTGAGGGATGAGACTGAATCCAAGCTTGGTTATGAGTTGATGCATTTGTTCAATAGACAGAATCTTGGTGAACATGTCTGCAAGTTGTTGAGAGCTGTGAATGTAGGTAGGAGCAATAACTCCTTCCACTAGGCGAAAATATCATTTGGCCACCGGTTCAAAACCCACCTATGCCACCGGTTTTGAACCGGTGGTCATTTGGGGGGTGGCAATAAACTGAAGCAAAGCCATCGGTTCAAAACCGATGGCAAAATCAAGTATTGCCACAAATTATTTTTTTAGGACATTATTGTCACCGGTTAACCGGTGGCAATAAGCCTTCCCGCAAATTTTTTTTTTGTATTAACAACTATTGCCACCGGTTAACCGGTGACAATAATGTCCTAAAAAA